GGTACTGTGCCCTTTTCAATTTGTTTTTTGTCGGTGGCTTGGTAGTGAGCTTTTGCTGTCTAACTTGATCGTATTTCGGCAGTACTCGATATCGGAATGTTTCGTTCACTCTATGCTTAGTAGCTGCGAGTTGATTTAATACCTTACTAGTATCTTGAAAAAACCGTTTTGCACCTTGCTGCTTTTCTGGATCTAATTTTTCACAAAACCCATGGAGACAAATTATCTTCCATTTCTGTTCTTACCCTCGCTGACTTCAAATTTTCACCTGAGGTCTTTAGTTGCCTCAAAGCACATTCAGCGTGTTGGGGAGCGCTGTGTAACTCATGAGCTTTATTTACCGATGAGATTACTTTCAATTTGAGATATAAAAGTGACCGGGGAATTTTCCTCTTGCCAGAAACTCCTTTTAAGGTTCCCTTAACTGATGGGTAATTTTGTGATATTTATTTCGTGACACTACAAGAAAGTGGCGGTATACCGTCAACTTGTTACCAGGAAGAAGTCTTCGGAAAGTATATAATAGTCATTCTCTGATGCATGGGTATATAAAGGAGCAAAAAATAGCTCCAAGTAGCTGTTTTCAAGTTGAGTGGAGTTGAGTCCATCGAGTTCAGATACGGTCGCTACCCTTTTTCAACTTACTCCGTGCAATATCTTTGAACGCAAGTCAAAGTCTCGTTCTTTGTCTGTCTTACTTGTTTGTAAGCCGTGCGCAGTGCTTTGAATTTTTTTTGGTTTGTGCATTTAATTTTTTGGCTTTCCAGTTTTGAGTTATTTTCTGTGATGTTATTGCTGATGACCATATTACAATTACATTGTAGGGCAGCCGGGAAGTGATCGGTAAATTCTTCGACTGCAGCTTTACTCAAGTACAGGTTAAGCACTCAGCTGTCTCTCAAAGTATATTATTTGAGGAGTAGTCGATAATAAACGGTTTATATGAAATGTTACTTATTAGCAAACTCGAACGGGAACGGTAGCCAAATATGCAGAAATTTACTGTAGATATCAAATAATCGAGAAGTAACTGTTGAAAAAGGATTAATGACTGAACGGAAAAGCAAATTTAACAGGTCATTCCTTTGGATAGGATAATAACATTGACTTTTAGAATGAGAGAGGTGCTACGTGTAAGTACTAGGCATATCACTTGCTTCCATACCTTTAACACCACAAACACGTTATGCATGAAGTAGAACTACTAATCGGCATATCTTTCAAACCTACTTCTAATATAGAGATATAAAATAGGAACTTTTGTACAATACCAAAAGAAGGCCGTCAGCTTGGTTAACGTTACTAAAGTTTCCGTAAGACACGAGGTTGGTACTCTTTAGAGTCACTCGTTATTGACTTAGTATGGTTCGCCTTCGAACGCAATTTTCGAATGGTACGACAGAGGGGGAAAAAGAGGGTTGAGCCAGCTGCAACTGTAAGCGTCAGCGATCATTGATTTGTTGGAGTAAAGAAAGGGTAAGAGAAGCATAACCTTTAAGGGGTTTTTAGTAGAAAGTAACACTATAAGCTCTTTGAGTAAAATAGTGTTCAGTAGTTAAACTGTTTTAGTTCTTGTAATCAGTGCTTCTTTTACATTCGTATTAAGACTGGTAAATCTCACTGTAGTAACATGAAAAGTTTTTGGTAGCTTTGAGACAAGGTAGGAGAAGGAAACCGTAATAAATTGTACACGTGTCATTATTTTGAGGATCACCAATCGGCTTAGCTTTTTAAGTTTTTTACGTTATATAGGAAATTGTATTCATCTTGTTAACCATTTTTTATTGGTTTTAGCGATTCTCACTCACAAATTTCAATGGTATGTAATCTTCTTCTTGCTTTTTAATTCAATTGTTGAATTTCAAAGAAAAAAAAAAGGAAATTTTCTGCTGTTGGAGAAAGCGAAGGGGAAGTGTATATATATATAATTAGGAAATATTGGAACGACAGTTAGTCTTGGCGACGTTTCAACTGTGTAAGCCGAATGTTGCTCGAACAAGCTCATCACATTTTAATGCACTTTTTTTGTTTACAGCTCTGAATTCTCTGGATTGTTTTGTTTGTGGGCAAGTTGCACTTCCAACTGCTTCGATTCGCGAGGGCAGTGTGGCGTTACCCGTTGAAGGCTCAACACCTGTTTGTGGTAGTCTTTGCCAAGACGACCGAACTGATTTTGAGGCGTCAAACTGATTTTGGGAGGACTGTATTTATTCTAGCTTATAAGTTACTTCATTTATAACATTAAATTTTGCCTGATGTCATCGCTGTCCAATTTTTGGCGGACTGGCACAAAAATAGTTTGCGTAGGGAGAAATTATAAGGTAAGTTCTTTGGGCTTTCGATTTAGGGAAAGGATTTGTGTGGGATTAATCCAAGTTTCGTGGTTTTATCTGAATGATAAAGTTCCAGCAGTTTGAAGGAGGTTGTAATTCTTTATAAATCTTTAAGCACAGCTGTGCTAAGATTTCTATCCAGGTAAAATCAGGAGCAGCAAACATCTGAAATATATTCTTGTAAGACAGTATTTTAGTTCTGATGCTTTCTACTGTTTTCTGCGGTGGTTAGCGAAATAATTTTTGTGAAGATATGAAGAGGAAGAATACTTTTGAATGCATAAAGGAAAACAAATAATGAGCAGTTGCGGACTAGAATGGTTTTTACTGAAATATGGTACTGATTCTAGAACAGTTTATTACTGGAAGGAGAACCTCGGCTTTTATGGGTTGCTTTATTGGCGAACTAGTTTTGGAAACAGTATAAACATTACTGAATGTCAAAAACTGCTGGCAAATTAGCTTTTCATTTTCAAATTTCTCTGGGGAAGCAGTGGTACAAAGTTGGGCAGAGTTGCACAGTCATTTTAGTTATGCGTTACTTTGCTTTTGCGTAGTATCTTGGTTGATTTGTTCATTAAAACGTAAATAGCTTGTTTGTTTGGAATTCCAGTCGTCAAGACGTGGTCCTAACTTGACATTATAGTGCTCGAGTAAAAAAAAGCAATTTTTTGTTACTAAAAAACTTACTTTTCATTTAGGAGCATGCTTTGGAGCTTGGTAACCCTATCCCAAAGAAACCATTGTTTTTTGTAAAGACGACGAATAGTTATATCACGGAAGGTCAACACATACGTGTACCATTCGGATGTAAGAAGTTGCACCAGGAAGTGGAACTTGGAGTAGTTTTTCAGAAGGAGGCGAAAAATCTCAGAAAAGAAGATGTTTTTAGATATGTGGGAGGCTATGCGGTAGCGCTAGACATGACTGCTCGTGATTTTCAAGTATGTCTTTTGTATGCTGCTAGTTGTAGCTGTTTTTATTTCAAAGATATTGAGAAGCCGTCTGCTTTAAAATCATACCAGTTGTGCAGAGTGGGCTCGTCATCTTGTTGAAAAGGTTTTTTAGCGGAGGACGGGCTTTAAAAAAGGTCTAAAGTTTCAAAGGTAGGCCAAATCCTTTAAGTCCTGCTAATTATTGCTTCAACATAGTGATTTTTTTCGATTTTACAGTTTGGCAACTTTTAGGATGAAGCGAAGAAGGCTGGACATCCATGGTTTCTGGCAAAGTCATTTGATACGTCATGCCCCGTTAGCCACTTTTTGGAAAGCAGTAAAATTCCTAACCCCCAAAACGAAGAGTTGTACTGCAAGATAAATGGAAAGTTCCAGCAGAAGTGTAAGACAAATGAAATGATCTTTGATATTCCAACTTTAATCGAATACGTAACAAAATTTGTTACGTTCTATCCAGGTGATATGTTGCTCACTGGCACACCATCCGGGGTTTGTAGCGTCAAAAGTGGCGATGAGATAGAATTTGGTCTGTCTGGAAAGATAAATGCAAAATTTACCGTCCAGTAAAACAATATTTGGCGCTAGGAATAAACGGAGAAGTAGTAGAATGTTTGTAACACATTCATTAAAAGAACCAGGAACCTCCATTGCATTGTTACAGCTGTAGAACTCTCAACCCAGTTTGACAATGGATGATGACTCTTGCCGGTGCAAAGTTTAACTTGGGATGTGTGTGCTCCCTTAATGTTGAGTACATTTTAAGCTGCGAGGTCATTTTCTTGCAAACGTCTCGAAACAACAGGAGTGATGTGGACAAAAACGGCGCAGTTCTTAATGGACTTAAAAAAAATGTGACTAGAACCACCCTTTTACTGCAACAAAAAATTACTTGAAAGTAACATTAGGAAATATATCTACACCTCTATCTTAGTGAAGCATCGTCTTGCAACACCCCTAAACACCTGCTTCTGAATAAGTTCTTTTATCATTATTGCTTCTCTTTCCATATAACGACATTAAAACAACAGTTAGACTAAAATAGCTGGAAATTAAAAAAAAAAAAAGTTGAGGACGTGTGTCAGGACGACCCTGGTGTAAGAAAGAGACGTTTCGGCTGCGACATCATAAATCTCCAGAGCAATGTGATTTGCTTTTATAGGTGCAGGGCTTTGGTGGGCTCAAGATGAGAAGGTGTATAGTTTCGCCCGTGATTAGCTGAGGGAATTTCCGCACCTGTTTTTGATAAACGCACAAAAGAAAGACAGTTATAAAAATCCGAATGTAAGCCCACAATGACATAGGATATAAGACTACATTACTCAGCTGTAATATGAATTTAAGAATGTACAACCGGACTTCACGCAAGATTTTAGAAAATTCGGTTAGACGGGTAGAAACGTGCGGTAAGACAACATCAGTAAAATCACAGATACAAAGTTCAAAATATGAAATTAGAAATCGAGCAAGACTATATTCAAGATAAGAAAAATGACGAATGATACCCACTTTGGAAAACTACAATTATGTGAAGACCAAAATTAGACGACGGGAGAACACCGACTTAATAAGGTTCCAAATGCGCCTTCAACAAAAAATATCAATGTGGTTACGAATGTAAAACAATTCCTTTCAAAATTGAGCTTAAGAGCTCGAACATGGTAATCGGGATTTTATATCTAGGAAATGCACAGTTGGAAATGGACTAAAACAGTACATGACCTGGTTGGTAATTTAAGAAACGAAAAGAGGTGGTCAGTAAGGATCATAAAGAATGCCTTAAAAAGTAGTAGTAATAGTGGTAATGAAGTTGTAATAGCGGTGGCAATAATAATAATAATAATAATAATAATAATAATAATACAATAATAATAATAATAATAATAATAATAATAATAATAATATAATAATAATAATAATAATAATAATAATAATAATAATATAATAATAATAATAATAATAATAATAATAATAATAATAAGACAATAATAATAAATTAATTTTGAGATTTTTCGGAATCAGTAATAATAATAATAATAATAATAATAATAATAATAATAAGAAGACACTGTGTCACCTAAATAGCAGAAATTGTAACATTTATCCCTAAGTTACCATTTTCAGCAAAAAGTTGGGCTGTTTGTGTGTCAAAAGCCATACAGTCAGAAGAAGAAATGGCGTGAGCTACCCCTTCGTGTATTGAACGAGGCGACGCTTCCCAACTAAACCGGCGTCGTTGAGTGGCAAGTTCTAATCTAAAAGCCAAAAGATTGGAAAAATTGAATTGGATACAACCAGTGGCCAGGTAGATGGCACTAAAAGATAGCAACTCCGGAAATGTAAATAAACCTGTTACTACACAAGAATCAATAACAAGAGTGTTCGATTAATAATTGAACAAGGTAATGCGACAGCCACTACCATCTGATTACCAGAAGAAAATTAGAAACTAAACCGCTAAGTAAATCAAACCGCATTGAAAACAGATGGGAGACCATAAGAATCACAACTCATGAAAAAAAAAGGGCAGTTCTACTTGAACTATACAAATAAGAAAAATTTTGATAAACATGTTATGTTAACAACAAGAATGCTACCTGTAAATAAAGTTCTCTGATTGTTTCCTAGTCCCAATAAGCTGTACAACCGCATAAAACATCTGGTTACCATCCTGGAATTTCTCCTGCTTTTCCAGAACAAGCATGAAGTGGCAGCCGAAGCAAGACTGCATCATTACCCAGTCGACTGCACCCGGGAGATTAATATCTGTTGCCAAAAACACAATATCCTCCCCTTAAATAAGCGAAAATCTCCTAGTTGTACTGATACTAAAAGCTTTACACATTCTTAGACCTCTAATACTAGCTCACTTCAAAATACCTA